TTGTTAAAATTAGGGGGGCTTGGGAGCGGGAGTTAGGAGTAATTTTTTCGGATCAGCAATGGGAGAAAGCAGTATCCAATGTCCGTTATAGTACGTTCTGTGCCAGGTTACAACTTATCCAGTTTAAGGTGTTGTACAGGGTTTACTATTCAAAGTCTCATCTGTCTGAGATTTACCTACAAGTAATGGATCAGTGTGAGAGATGTCATGCCACCCCATGTGACCTAGGTCATATGTCCTTTCTGTGCCCAAGACTCCATGACTTCTGGAGTCAGTATTCAGTTATTCTTTCCAAGGCTCTTGGTACCCAAATCTGCATGGACCCTTTTCTAGCTGTTTTTGGGCTTCCAGTCAACACTGGTCTAACCGACCCTACACACTTCAAAATATTAGCCTTTACATCACTTTTGGCTAGACGTTTCATCTTACTCCTTTGGAAATCTTCAAAGCCACCTTCAGTTTCTTTTTGGTTTAGAGATGTGATGTCATTTCTTAAATTGCAAAAGATAGGCCTTGTGGCGAAGGGCAAATACAGAGAATTTTATCGTATCTGGGGCCCCTTTGTAAACTATTGCAAGTCATTAAACGCTCTACCAGCTGATTAATATCATATCCCCCCCCCCTTTTTTTGTGTGTGTTTTGGGGTTTGTTGTTTGTGTTTGTTTTGGGTTTCTTCTTAGGTTTTGTTTTGTTTGTTTTTTCAATTTTATTTAAGCGTGTGTGCCTGTGTGTGTGTGTGTGTATTATTGTATCTGTTCATGTAAGAAAAACTAAAAAAATATGTGAGGGGAACAGACTGTATTGTCATTGTAAACTTGTCTCTCAATAAAAATATGAATAAATAAATAAATAAATACTGAAAACCCACATGCTGTTGGCAGATCCTACCTCCATGTTCTGAGAGTCCTCCGCTTCATCATCCAGCTCCACCATTGTCTGCTCTGGTCGGATCATACAGGGAGTGGAGGCCTTACGTCGACTGGACATGGTGGTGGATGGGTTTGTCCTGGTGCTCGTGTTTGGCCAGGGATGCTGTAAAGGAGGCTATGGCTGAAGTTCCAGGATGCAGGACTTGTATGCAAAGACAGTCTTAAGGTGCTGAAGTGCAGTCAGGAGGACTGCCTACTAGAGGAATACAGATATAGATCCCGAGGTAGCAAGCACCGGACAACTTGTGAGACTGGGATCAGAAGCCAAGGAGTCTGAGGAACACTCACCCCCCCAGAGTAAAATTATTGGCTGGAGGAAGGAGGAGGACAGTAGGCGGTGAAAGTCTGGCAGAGATGGGACTCCTGTAGTGTCATGTAGGCTGGGCTCACTGACAGTGTCAGCTCCAGTGCTGGCTGATCTCCTCGAACTGCATGATAGGACGCTACCTAGATGGCAGAAAGTAGAGAAAAAGCAGTGTAATTTTTATATATGTTTAAAAACATATATTTCCCTTTTCCTTGCATGTACTCTACTTCCTAAATCACATCTATGACACTATGATATCTTTAAAGACAAGGAAATCAAAGCTGAGCTAGAATGACATATTTGTATGCAGATAGCAACATGTTACAGTTATATCAGCAAGGCATGTGTGGTCTAATGTGTCTACATAAGACGCAGGCAATATATGAATAACATGAGTCATACCAGCTTTTCACAGGAATGATTTTAAAGAATTACACCAATAAATAAAATATGTTGGGCTCTAAAATAAAAATAAAAAAACAACAAATGTTTTTTTCTATAATGTACAATATACGCAATGCACCACAAAGTAAGAACCATAAACATTCTCACAACATCAGTTCCCTTTTAACAGACACACACACAAAAAAACAACATTGGTAGAAGAAACATGAATATTCTTGAGTTGGCACCAAACTGACCCATGTAGAGGTGCAGCACACCACTGTCCAAAGGAGGTAAAGCCAACTGCTGGGCAGTGAGCAAAAATGGCTCAAAGTAAAAAAGGTGGCTGATACATAAGCACAGCAGAAAGCTTACAGGTGGTCAGAGCAGTACAAAGCTGGCCCTCAAAAGACTGGGAAACAGAAAAAGTCCAACAGTGCTTTGGACTTTTCTGGCCAACAACCTTTTAGAAGCTAGGTGAAGTAAACTAGAGGAGCAAACAACACTATACACTGGAAGACTGATGCATAACTCTGTACTTCTTCATTTTAATTCATATACTGCCAAGTTCAACAACCGCCGGGAACTCAACATGCATGTTACATAATAAAAAAAAAACAAAAACAAAAAAAACTCAAACAGAGAATCAGATGATCACCTATGAGCAAACATGGCAATGGTGGCGAGAAAGAGGACGTCTATTTATCAGGAAGATACCATTCAGAGGGGTGCAGCTGCAACCGGTATGGGGGTTAAGGGATCAAGGGATATTTAAATCCCACACTAAGTCTTGATGAATGAAATATTCAAGTTGAAATCCTTCACTTATAATTTTTTGAGCAGCATAATCATTTTTTCTTCTTTCAACTGCTTCCTTTTAAAGTTGCCACAGAGGATGAAAATCTTATTATTTCTGATCTGCATATTTGATTTGGCAAATATTTTGTACCTGATGCAACCCTCTAATTTACCAGCAGTACACTGGCTCGTGACCTCCTGTGGGTGGGTTGTCTATACTGCAATTTGGATTAATTATTCACTGATCAGACACATCTTCCTGTGTGTGGCTAATGAAAAATTAATATTGGTTCAAACAGCAATTCTCTGAAATGGCAACTGAATAAATACAAATATGTGACAAATTAAAAGAAAATCCGAGATATTATACATTACACCTGTGTTTCATTCCCTGCAACGGTCTCATTCGGTTCAATGGAAGTAAATTTTGTCATATGAGGGCTCTCTGTCCATGGGGTTTGTAGCTCCCTGTGTTTAGTCTACAACAGAGCACAAACCTGGTCTTGTCAGGTGTTGTCCCAGCATCGATTCTGCCTCAAGACTCTGGACAGTTTGAGACCAGTGGACCCAAACAACGCCAGTATAAAGCCACCCATAACAGTATGACTGGATCCTCTCACTAAAGGAGCTCACGAGTCCAGTTCTTCAATCTGTCACTCAAGCAACATTCATTTAAATCACACAAACCTGCTATTGTTCCAGTCTGTCAGTTTCACTTGGCCTTCATAAGTGGCAGATATATTCAACTAGATGAGATGATTTTTATTTTAAGTTCCACAACAGTGCTCCAGTGTTGTCTATTTATGTAGAGTAAAACTTTTAATCATCACACTTTCATCACTGTGACTCGGCAACACGGCCGGTATGCAAATATATGCAGCTGACAGGTCTGCTGCTGTAAGACAAGTTGTCCTGAGAAATATTGACTAATCATTCATAAATCAGATTGTGCTGCCAAGCGTGAACAGAGTGAGAAACCAGAGAGAAAGCAGCTTCTGATCCAAATCTTTTAAAGCTGCGAGCTTCTTTATTTGAGTTTTAGTGGAAATGAGAACTTCATAAAGTAGCAGCAGTTACAAAAAGCTGAAGGACTGAGAGAATAGGAAACTTTTCTTGGGTAATATTGTACTGAGTAGGAAGAGAGAGGAAAAAGAAAAGCTTATCTGACTGAAAAAGTCTATTGATATTCTGGAGACCTCACGCTGAAGCTTCATACTCATATCCACATGAGTAAAAATCAAATGAGTCGATGCAGCAGCGGTGCTCTTCTATCAACCCGCGTACGCACAGAGGACGAGAAAACCTCTTCCAAATATAAATCCCATGTGTACAACACCATTTAAATATTTCATACTTCTATTTACTCAGAAGCATCACATGGCAATTTAATCTGGACAGAAGAACGATAAGTAGTATGACTGTACGATGCAGAGCAAGAGCAACAATGTGACTTCAGGGTAATCCATCAGCTGCAAATATTATGCCTGAACTTCGCGATCATGCGAGAGTCTCACATACTTTTCCTGGATCTCTCCATCAGCTACACATTAATCAAAAGGCGCGATTCCCCTTCAACACGCCATCATTCGCAAGTCCACTCATTGTCCCGAGATATCTCATCCCCTCAAACGACCCACTGAGGCATCATTAAAATGCAGACTCATTACCATGGTGTCGCTATAGCAACTGTGGAGCTGTAGTCAAGTGGCTGCTACATCCTGACGGAGGCTGTATATACACACACACACACACACACCACCCAACTGTGTTTGGTGCTTTTAGAGACAAAAACTAAAATAAATTTTTAGGCTCAATGTTTTGACAGTCTGGGAATTTGCAATCCTGCTGGATCCATACACTGGCACATTTCTTGTAGTTTTCTGAGCCATTGTGGAAGGTCAAGATACAGTCAGTGGGAAGGAAAAAAAAAGAAAAAAGAAAACCCACTTTCCAGAATATTGACTTCAAGGCATGAGCAGCACTTAGAAGAGAGTTCTCAGTCTTTTCAACATCCAAAAGCAAAGTGAGCAAACTTACAGTATGGCAGACAGTCTTTACACTACTATGTAAATACGGAGCTATTGTATGCCATGTTATTTCTGGCCATTTAACAAAGAGAAATACTATGGCTGAGCTCATTTAACAAAACGGATATAAAAATACTGCAGTGCTGTTTTTGGCTCAGTTTAAAACCTCCTTGGGATGCTTTTTATGTGGAAAAAAAACATTTGAGCCCTCAAGAGCACCACTTACCATCAGTGTCTCTCACTGGCCTTGCCCAAAATCCAGCACTGTAGCACACATCTGGTAGGGCAGAATGGGAGATGCATCTGTCAGCTGCATCTGAAGAGCCACTTCACATGACCCACTGAACCAGTGCCGCCTCACAGGGCTTGAATGCATTTTTTGGATTTCTGCAGTTAGGTGATTGAGGCACAACAGGGCAGGGGGGGCACTGAGATTAAGCCACACAAGCAGGGTGGATGCAAGTTAAATGCTTTCCTTTACGCAACATCTGTATTTGTATGCTACAGCAATTTCTATGCGCCTCAACAATGACTCAGTGCTTTCAACTCGCTGCTCCAAGCTTCTCAAAAATGTTCTCCAAGTCACTGAATGACATCAAGAGGAGTTTGCTTCATAAGTCAGTACTACTGAGTCACCGGTTTTATTAAAAAAAACAAAAACAAAAAACACGCCGAGAACAAGTTTGACTCAGACACTGCTCAGAATCTGATAGAAGTCCATCATATTACACAACATAAACACAGACCGCACTGCAGTCTGATTTGTTGCAGTCAAGTTAAACATGTGCGTGGACTGACTCAAACAAAGAGAAAAGCCTGTGTAAATACTGGTGAACACTGAGGAAACACTGGCACAGACAGCCTCTTCCTCTCTCTACTCTGTCATTTTCAGCAGAGGAGGGAGGGGTTGCACTCCCGCTGGCTACTTGGGAGCCCCAAATCCAATGATGGAAAAGAGAAGTACGATTAACAGCCACAGTGCTGAAAAACTCTGTCTAGGTTTATCTAGATACCTTAATAAACTTTTTAATGGATGCTCTGAAGTCTCACGCAATAAAAAAATAAAAAAAAAAGTATATATTATCAGGTGTCCTTGAAAAGAATATGAGGCCTTTCCAGAATGATTACTTGGCTCTAAACACCTCAGCTGCAGAGCTGAACGAAATGTGAACTAGTTGGCTGTCTGAGCTTTCGCCATGGCAACTTTCACTTCATACCAAATACCAAAAATGTTAATCACTCCGTACTCAAACTTGGCTATGGCCACAACCCAGGTGAAACCTTCAGTCTCCCACCTGTTTGTTAGTGTGTCTAACCTCATCAGCCAGTCAGTGTCTGTGTGCAGAGTGCGCTCCGAGCTGGAGCCACAAACTCCCGACTGTCTGGATGCTCATTAAACTTGTATGAATACTCAGCCTGGCAGCCCCCTTGCCTGCCTGCCTGGCTGCCGTCTGTCTGTCTGTACTTTCCCGTTGTCTAGCTGTCTGTCTGCTTGGTGCATTATATTAGTGGAGCAGTCTTTCTGAAGAAGCAACATTTTAATGCTGCCAGGCAGCGAATACATTTATCATCCCAGGCAGTAATCAGCGTAAGATACACACTGGCATACATACTGAGGAGGACACAGGGGAAATCAATACAAACCCTGCATACCACAGAGCCTGTCTAATGTATGAAGACAGACATCATGATTTAATATGACAGAAACATAACAGTGCTATAAGGCGGGACATCTATCCAAGCGGTAGCGAGAAGGAAACGACAGTGAGCAGATGAGTCACAGCAGCTCTCTCAACTCAACTCCTATTTCTGGACGTCATTAACATAATCTCAAAGTGGGGTAAAGGATAAAAGTGTCTCAAAGGCTGGACTTTTGGTCAAGCAGGGCAGCCTTCTGTCGCACAAAAACACCTATCAGGAGTATAAAGCCC